GTCAGGGAGATGTTGTGGAGTATTATCCTAAACCTACCTCTTGATGTAATCCCAAGGTAAGACATTCACGGTGGTCAATTCCGGTGATCTTGGTGGGGCCTTTGCAATATCGCCAAAGCGAAACAGCGAAACACAACATTTATGCAAACAGCTGAGGAAGCTGCTCCATGTATAGCAACGAATTCAGACTAGGTTGAAGGAGCCAGTCAATGATTCGTTTGTCTCCTATAACATAAGTTAATTTTTTGACTTTTCTGTCATTACATTCACATTTATAGTGTTAAAAGCGAGAGTGTTTGCAGATAATTGTGGTGCTAGACGACGGCTTCAACACATGGTACTTCTTGCATAATTTACAAAGAGCAGTATAAGCATAATGAAGGTTGGTAAAGTATTATTATAGTGTTGATACATCACTGTCACTGTGGTAGACATTGGTAGCTAAATGGGTCAAAAGTATGCACTAAAACTAGTCAATTTTGGCGACAAACAATGCAGTTTAAAGATATAGGCTTGGGTCCTACTATTCTATTCGAATTTTGTCTTAGCTGGGGTATAAATTACTGTACCTGTCGTTGCAGACTCATATTTTCGGAGGAAATGATGTGATTAATTACTTTGATTACTTTACTCGGCGATTTTGTAGCAATGGGTAAATCCTAAACCGCCTATTTCATCTTCTTATTCGCTGTCTCCATAGCAAGTGTATGGCTAGAACAGTTAAATACGGGAGCGCCGCGCGGCGCGGCGCCGGATCGCGTGAAAGAGTCCTTACATGGCTGTTGCAATCACCAGATATGACACCCCTTGACCATTTCTGTGAAGCACCGCTCTGATTAGTATCGCTGACTTGAACAAACATACTTTCAGCACCTGTTGCGGATGACGAGACGCGTTCGTGAAAAAGCATGTGCTTAGTGATTGAACTCCGACAAGTCAGAACGGACTACTTCATGGCCAAGCTTAGTTATCTAATAATAGTCGATGTTGCGTTCGCATATGTGCCTCTTACTAGTTGAGGTACAATACTGGGACTTAGGAGCATGAAACGGTCATTGACATTCGATTATGCTCGTTGATGAGTTCTCACTCCTTTCAACGCCTCCATCCTTTCAATATGGATAACCACTAGAGGTGACATCTAGATCTAAGGGCTAGACAGGGGAATGCTGGAGGCATTTGTTTGAAATGCTGGGTAATGAAATGTATGCATGAATATTATATATTAGCGTAAAAGAGGCAGTTGAAATTATCAAGATGGCGGCTGGGCGCTATTTTGGAGTATTTTCTTAAGAGATTTTTTCGCGAGATCCCGTAGTGTACCGGAGCGGGAACAGACGGAATTTCCCCTTCCTCTCGAAGTTTTGACAGTTTCAAGTTACACCGGGAGTGGTTAGATGGCGCATGTTGCCCAAAATGTTTGCTTTGAGCTTCTTGATAAACTTAGCTGCCTTGTTTGAATCTGAAATAAAACGACCGATCGTTTTTTGTGCAATGTACATATATATCAATAAAATCAATCATTTCATATGACAAGTGCGGTTCATATATCTTCGATGACCTTCTCACTCGTCATTTAAAATCAGGTGGACGTGTTCCTCCATTTATGATTTAATAATTTAACTCAATTTTCGGCACTGCGAAGACAAATTTTCAATTGAGATGCCTGTTTTTTAAATGACATTGACATAAGACCTGTCAACCGCTAGTACTTCACAGACGTTAGGCGGGTTCCCGTACCACGTGATTTTTTGACATCCGGACGACGTCATATCCGTGTTCCCCTATTCCCGTTCTTCGCGAAAAAAATGGAACTAACCTTCGAAATGGCGATCTGACACGCTGACACAGTTGTGAGTTTTTGTACATTGAGCCGCAAAAACCAATTACCAGAACGCTTTGATACATCAATCGTCTTTATTCCTTGGAAGGTCCTATCCGAAGACGTACTAAAATATAGATCATTCTATTTGAAAAATTTGTCAAAAATCTCTTCTCTCAAATTCTTTTAAGCTAGATGTCCCATATTTTATTCCTCATTCCGATAGACACTTCCAAAATACGAACATTTATCCAACATTCTATAACGTTTTGTTCATTAATTGTTGAGTTGTAGCCTAACTAGCAATTTTATGTTCTATAAATGCCCTAACAATGATGCTATTAAACGTTCTAACAAAGTTTATACAACGCTTATAAACCTAAACGCACTCTTGTGCAGCAATCTTGTTCTTTATTTTGTTTTACTATATCTCCCACAGCTTTTACCGAATAATTGTTTAGACGTTGTCACATTTTAAAACAAGGTACGCAACAATTAGAAAACAGTTTTATTGAAAACAATTATAGAACTAGAATTAAATAGTTTTATAAAAGCTGTTTTATTATCATAGATGCAGCTTTCTTGTTTTGGCTAAGACTAAATGTTTGCTTTTGCTGTTAAATTGCACCCACTGAGAATAATTTTTTTAATGATCCTCGATACAACAAAAAGGCAAGGATTAAATCTTTTTATTAAATAAAATATGTTTGAGTAACTACACCAGCCATGTTGCATTTATATGCATCCAATTCCAGACAGATAGAAATTCGCTTTGTAATCTGATGGTTGATATTTTACGCAAGACATTTTTTGTATAATATATAGGATATATGTAGCGAAATTTTTCCCACGCTTTTTACTCTGAATTGAATTATTCTGTTAATAACTTAAATTTTATTATAACTCTATTTTGAGGTCATTAATTATGATTGATTGTTCAACCATCTACTACTGTAATATAAAATCTTTGCAATTAAAAATTATTTTCTACTTTTTAGTTCGGTTAGCTATAACAGGGTGTTTTTTTAGTTTTTTAAACTATTATTTATTTTTCATATTTTAGTACGATCTATCAATTAGTTTTTTGTCGACATGTGGTATTGAAATGTCTTTCGAATCATTTCGTAATCTAATCATTTCATTTAAAGCTTCACTGTTGCATGGGGTTTTTCCTGTTAACTTAGAGACATCAAGTTCTTCAATCCGAATACCGTCTAAAGATCTTACACGACTAAAACCGTATCGTCAGTCGTTAATACAATTGTTGGACGCCTTTATGGCCTACTTGATTTTCATGGTCTTTTCTATCCTTTAGGAAGGCTTGGATGTTGGATATTTCTAGAGAGTTCTGCTATTCCGCGTCAGCGCCAGCACTCTCCTATTGTGAGGCTAATGTTTTCTTTTTGAATCGAACAAAATTTCAGGTTATATAACAGATGATATAATTTGAAGGCTTGAACAATTTGATGCTAATGTATATTTGTAAAATAACCTCAAAATAGAGCACTGACACGGATCAGTAGTAAACCATGAAAATCAGGGAGGCCAGTAGGGACGACGATACGGCCGTAAGTGCTATATAGTATACTAAATGATTACCCAAGTTTCTTTAAATTAACGTCCATTCACAGCTTCAAAAGAGAATTCAAAAGAATGCTATTACAGTTACAATTTAATGAATCCACAAGTGGCTGAATAAATCTCATTATTAATCTTATTATATTTTAAAGTTTTGTTAGCATTATTATAGTCAACCAAATATCCTTTATGTAATGTATATGATATACCTTAGTATATATAAATATATATATATATATATATATATATATATATTCTGGCGGGGGTGAAAAATGGCTATGCTAATCCCCAGCCCTTTGGAGTATTATTTTTTTTGTGTTATATTATTTGCTCGTATTTTGATTCTATTATGTATTAATACTCCAATAAACATTATTATTATTATTATTATTATTATTATTATTATTATTATTATTATTATAAGCTTGTCCAGCAGCAAACAGTCGCGAGCCTAGATAGATGACTGCATGATAGACTGTACAACCTTGCATCTTGCAGATGGTCGAAGCCCCACTCAGGGGTGTGCTGTGCCATGTGCCCAAACCAACAAAGAGTATAAATCTATTATAAAACAAATTTGTTTATAAAACAGTATTAAAATTTGTTCCAAAACTGTTTAGTATTCTTGCTCTAAGAACGTTCTTACGACTTACTTATAAAGCTAAATACCTCTTAAAAGCTTAATTGTTTTACTGTCAATTACATTAAAATAAAATTGCATTCTAAAAGCAGTAATAAGGCAATTATAAATAAAATAGTACGGACAGTCGAAAATTATAAAATATATTTGCTAGTTGGGAAGCGACTCATTGTCCATAAACGTTCAAATTTAAAGCTTGTTACCCTTTTGAAAGATGGTGATTTTATATTGTAGGGTATAAAGTTCTCATCAGGAGCTTCAAAATAAGATATGACGTGACTCCCCATTCTATTTAAAAAATGTTACATGGTGCAGCCGTTCGTAATCCTATTTCCAATTGTTATTTTCACGTTAAAATATAGCATTCATGCCTCAATTTCATCATCCTGGATTTCAGCTCGCTAACTTGATCCGTTCAAAAAATAAGTAGGGAGAAGGCTTTCTGGTCCCGTACGAAAATGAATTCAAAAAGTCTTAACTGCATTGGTCCCTATGGCTAAGCAAATGTATGAGTTTATATGGTTAAAAGTAATTTATTGTATGTGCAATTGATAAGGGCAGTTTGAGTCCAAACAAATCCTCCTCTAGGCGTCTACGAGCATTAATATGATGGCATAGATATGCTTTCCCTGAACAGCTCTTATGACTTACAACTTTTATACGATCAAATGATCCAAATGTTTCATTACTGGTAAGCATTCATTTTGGATTTACAGTAAGCTGAATTTTCTGGACTTTATGGAAAAAGCTAACATTTCTTCGTGATGTACACAGGTATACCATAAACATTTTTTATCAACTATTTTGTATAGCAGGCCTCATTTTAAGTGTCTATTCATATTAGGGTTTTAAACTATTTCTCGTGAAAGACAAATAAAAATAAATTTTATCATTATGTTATTTTTTCCGTATTATATATCTGAGCATTTACAATACGCTGACTCAGATTAAATTGAATTCAATTTCTAATAGTCACCCGATATAGTATCTCCATTCAATAGATCAGTATCTTGTAGTATCTACTTGAATATTTAAAAACGCTTTCGAGTACATAATATAACTTATCCGCGAGGTATAAAATTAGCAGAGCTTCAAATATTGTTTTGAAGCAGACCGCACTTTCGTCTGAAGTTCCGGAAAAATGGCGTTAAACCGTTTAGCAGTATTTTTCTTAGTCGCACTGTCTGCAGCTACAGTTCAGGTAACTATTTCTGATTTCTACATACATATTTTTGGGGATTCTAGATGTTTTTTCTTTATTCGATTTTTGTCGACGACTTTATTCAGACAGCATGCGACTAAAGTCCCTGACAGTGGTCTTAGTTTATATTACCGAAGCCAGCAATCTTAAATTCTGAAATGTTTCCTTGCTGGTACTATACCAAACTAAATTTTGCTCGAGACTATAGAGTTTCCAGGGAGTTGTTCCTCTTTTGATTTTTCTTGGACAAGGAAAAGCTTTTATAGCCGCTTTCAGGCAGAAAAGCTTGACAGTATTGCCCAGAAATGCCGCGTACTGCCAAAGCGCACTCAGACATTTGCTATACATCCTACCACAGTATTGTTTATATCATTAAGACAGGGTGGATAGCGTTGGGCTAGATTTTCATACCAAAGGTAATTGTCATCCTAAGCTCACCGTCGTACATTATACATTCGTACCTATACATATACACCTTAGGAAAAACCATTGTTATACATGGGAAATCATTTCTTGGCAACAGCGCATCGGCTCGTCTACTTTCATCGCTATTCGTACATATTTCCTACCGTTAACCGCAGACCTATATCACGAATGAGAATAATAGGCAGATACGCTGTGTTGCCAATTTGAGTAGAGCTTCACGAATTGTGGGGAATTTAGAGTTAAGTGTTGATTCATTCAAGCTTTTAATCAGCATGGCCTAGACGTTAGAACTTCATAAAGATAACATTGAAGCTGAATGCTGCTGGAGTATAGTGTTTCGAATATTCAAAGCGGAGCGGGACACTATACTCGTTCAATGGGTCATCAAGCCACAGTCTTTTCAACAAAGAAATTATTTTACGAAAATGCGTTATATTTTTACGATTTTGTCGTCACCAAATCTCTGTTTCTCAAAATGTACGTCTATTGTAGAATTTTCAGCAAACTAAGCAAGAAACGTGATCTAGTATTTACTCAACATTACGGATTTCTCGAAATACATTGAAAAATGTGACCTACCGAACTGCCCCAAGCTCTTTAAATATAACACCTTAAACCAGGGTTACCAGGTGCTCAGTCACGTTGATTGTCATGTTGTACTGCGCAAGTCAGCAAACAATCAGGTATTGCCAGATTCCCGAATACCGGGCACCATAGTAACCGTTATAGTTGTCCTTCAAAGTTGTCAAATCGCCCCTATGGCGCAAATTCGCCACACCAGGCAACTGTGCTATAAACAAACCCTGTTTATCACTACTATTTGATAGTCATATGGTAGTTGTAGCCCTATCTAGCGGTCCATGATTTCTCTCAATACTGTTGTATCTCTACTGGCAACAAGAATAGGGATTACAAAATCATTTATACAACAATATACAAACATGAAAAATATGATTTGAACCATGAAACATTAATACAATTTTAATAGTTTGAACTTTTTTCATTTTTGGAATACTCTTATGTGGAATCCGCAGCTATTTTTCCCGAAATTTGGGTAGACTTAGATTTCTTAGAAATATGAGATATTGGTATCGGCAACTCTGCGAATGGGAGAAACAAATCGCATTTGTTGAGCGCATCCGTCTAAGCGGTAGGCGCCAGCGCCAGTTCTGCCATCTCTCTCTTTTATCACTCTTCTACTTTACCCCGTTGTCCGTCACACTCCGACGCTGCCAGATAAGATCCTACAATCGAGTGTCTTTCACGCACCTACATACTTTGTATATTTCCATCTCTCTTCCTCATCATAATGTATAATAATGGTTTTTCCCATACTGTATATGTACCAGCAAGTCTAAACCTACTAAGTATTGGTTCTTTGGTCTGTTTTGATCATCATGTACCTTGTTAAGAATCACCTGCCTCATTATTGTATGTAAATATATCCTCATATTCATTGCAATACATGCGATTCGCGTATTTTGCCTTTCATGGCTTCTCCAGGTATAGCTGTCAAAACAACCATGTCCTCTGAGAAGCTGTGCAGGATAGTAATCTATCCACATCGCTTGCCAATCTAGGTTTTAATATCTTCCTTCTAGTCCATGCACTATGACTTGTATCCCATATCTCCTGCCATATAGCAAAACACGCCTCTCTTTCGTCGCCTCTACTTTCGGCACTCTTTTTATAGAGCGCACCTTTCTCCTGATCCAGAAAATTAGTTGGAGCGACACCAGTCACTACCAGCAATTCATGCGTCGACACCGTTCTGTAAGCGCATATGACGCGCAGCACTACTTTTCGCTGGCGTCTGAGCATTAGCTGCCTATGTTTCTTTAACCTCAGGGCCCTGATAAAGATATGGGCTCTGTGAAGAAAAATGGAGTTTGTCACTCTGACAAAATCCTAAGCCAATCACTACTCGAGCATCCATCAGTAGCATTAGCTGTATCAGGATTGCATTTTATCGCATTTTGGCTTGGAATTTCGGCATTCTCAACCTCAACAGCCAATGAAGTTTGAGTGTGTCTGTCCGAAAGATCAGCACTTCAGTCTATCCAGGAGCTAATTTCAATGCATTTTCTTTCATCCATATGGTTTCTCTCATGTTTCCATATGCTCAAAGCCTTTCTAGTGTACCGCTCTCCTTGTTAGTTACTAGCACCACCACGTCATTAGCATACCCTACCAGACGAATTCCTGACAACATCTGCAGTCAAAGAACCTCATCGTAGGACAAGTTCTAAAGAAACGGACCCAGAATAAAGCCCTGAGGCACTCCCATAGTTACCTTTAGCGTCTTTTGTCTTACTATAAGGGTTCTCTCAGTAAAATAACTCTTTACCATGTTCTATAGATAACCAGGAGTGTATTGTAGAGGGATCTAAGGTTTTCTGTAATTGTGCCGTCTTAATATTAGAAGAAACCTTCACGCACAGATTGTTATTGCTGCTGTTGTAACTGTCACAAAAGCTGGTTCCATCAGCTGCACCACTGCATCACTGCTACAGTGTTGACAGACGATTATTTTTTTTCTCCCTAGATATTTTGCCAAAATTTCCCTATGTTTCCCTAACAACTTAAACACCATGTTTATTTTAGAATTTCTTTTATATATATATATATATATATATATATATAATATTCATCTTAATATTGTTTGTAATTTGAGGTAGGAGTATTGATAAACAAATGCAAACAAATTTTTTACGTATAATTAGTTTAATTAACGTAACAGGTATTTCTTAAAATATACAATATAAACTAAAATACATGATAACTTAAGTATGCATATTATTAAAAATATAAAAAAAAATTATTCTGTATGAATAGCGAACGAACATAAAATATTTTTTTTAAGAAAACCATAAAGTAAAATAATCAAAAGTAGGTATTATAATTTAATTTTGAGTTTTATTGTACATTGACGAATCCATTCCTCTAAACAAATCATTGGGTATGCTAAGGTTGTAGCAACTGTCATTTTTCAATAAAACTTTGGTAGCTATGTAAAATTCCACTTAAACTTTTAGTCGATAATTTATTTCTTATTTTAGTTTTGTTTAGATTTATTTGAGAAAATGTCCTTTCGACATTTGCACTTGAATGTGGCAAACTAAACAGATTAAACACAAAATTAGTTAAGGCTGGAATCATCACCAGATTTTAATGTTGAAATCGTTTCCCAAAATTCTTGAACGCTTAAGTTTGTATACTAAGTGACATATAAATCCGAACACCCAGTTTAAATGGTTTTATTTTAATAAAATTTTTATGTATAAGTACTTAATGAAGCATAATAAGTAAATGATAAAAATTTCAAAATGATTGCACTGCTTTAAAGCCCTTTGACCTTTAATAATATGTGGATGCACCCTGATGTGCTACGCATTCTCCAACGCGCCTAGGCATGCTTCTGATCAGGTGGTCAATGTCCTCCTGTGGTATCTCATTCCAGGCAACCACCAACTCCTCTCGAAGTGCTTCTAGAGTCTGAGGAGGACGTTGCAAATTGAGCAATCTCCTACCCATCATATCCCACACGTGCTCAATTGGGGATAAGTCGGGAGATCTTGGTGGCCATGGTAACAATGTGATATCATTATGTTGAAAGAAGTCTATTGTGACTCTTGCAACATGTGGTCGGGCATTATCTTGTTGGAAAGTTCGATCTGCCAGGGTGTCAAGATAGGGTAATAGATGGGGTTCTAGAACTTCGTGGATATAACGCTGCGCGTTCATGTTACCTCTGATGAAGATTAAAGGTGACCTGGAACCATAAGCTATAGCACCCCAAACCATAACTCCAACAGTGTGATGAACATGTCTTTCAACAAAAAACTGTGGATTCCTCCTTTCACCACGTCGCCTTCTAACCCTGGCACGACCATCGTGCATGCCTAAACAAAATCGAGACTCGTCACTAAAGACAATACTGTTCCATTCCTGATCCCAGAGTGACCGTTGTCTGCACCACTCAAGGCGATTACGTCGGTGTTCTCGAGTTAAAGGGAGGACCTAGTGTGGCCGGTATGAAAACAAGCCAAAACTTCTCATTCATCGGTAAACACTTCGCATGCCAATAGGTCTTCCGTGTTCTGCAAACCATTCATTTGCAATGGACCTGGTAGTGGAGAAACGGTCCCTTAAGGCCAATAATCTTAGGCGGCGATCTTCACGGTCTGTTGTTCTACGGCGGCGTCCAGTGCCCCTTGCTCTTTGCGTACGGCCTTCTCGAAGCCATGTCAAGAACCAAAATCCGCCAACGTTGATTCTTTACTGCGGCTGAAATATTCATTTTTAGAGCGTTAGTGAATTAAAAAAAGCAGTATAAAAACCAGAATGTCCAACTGATAAGGTTGAAAATTTTTTCACTTGTTATTTACAGTAAGATAAATATATTCACCAACTTTTATTAAAATAAAACCATTTAAGCTGGGTGTTCGGATTTATATGGTGATATAAGTGACATATGGTTTAGGGTAGGGACAGTTTTGCTTTTATTTTCAAATCTTTTATAAATTTGAAAACAACGTTCTATTAAAAAATATAAACACCTCTTTCTGAAGTCAAATAATTCTGCATCATTTAGTGTATGTTCATTATTGCTTATAGCACCTGTTACGTAGACAAATAAATGTTTTCTATTTCTACAAAATTATGAGGACTTTTATATTCTACTTTTTCAAAGTTTTATCTAAATAATCCTTTCTCATGTAACAATCCAAAATTGTTCCTAACACATGTTCAAGTCGTTTATATAAAATGTATATTTTAATATTTTCGGATTGCATTTCTAAATTCCATAAAAAACGGCAGCACAAAGTTTAAAAAATGTAAATACAATATGGTAGATGGATTTTAAAGAAAAAATAAGATATTATGTGCTTGAATGCCATTTTTATTGTAGCCCTGATCTGTATTGCTCAAGAATTCTTTTTACTACAGGCAATACAGACAACCACCTTGTTTGAGAGGGTTATAAAATTTTATGAGGTTTTACTGCTGCAAACTCCTGAAACTCTGCAAATTCAGTTTGTCTTTCAAAACTGTATTGTAGATACGTATGAACATCTCTAGCCATTTGTTCAATATCATCAGGTAATCTAGCACAAGTATAATTAACACATAAACTAAATGAATGACAGACATATTTCATAATGAATAAATTAGGAATATCGGCTTTTAGTTTGGTGGATAATAAATTATGAATTCCCATCATAGCACTTGCACCATGTGATGCAAAGCCTATTAGATTTTCTTTATAATCAATATTACATTTTAAAAAATAATTTACAATAGTGTTGTAAAGTCCTACTGTCGTTGCATCTGCTACAGGCAATATACCAAGGAGCAAGTCAGTAATTTTATGTTCATAAAAAATACGTGCCACTAATAAATTAATAGAATTTCCAAAACTGTACTGCCCTAAAACATGATTGACAATAGCTGTAGCTTTGGTGCGAAAATATGTGAAATTTTTAGCAATCTCTGAATCGTCAAATGATATTCTAATAATTTTTGATAAATGGTCCAAGGTATTACATGAAATGTTATGTTCAGCTGCATATGCTGCAATTCGAATTTCAGCAGTTTTGATTTTGTTATTTAAAGATATTTTTTCCATATAAGATGTAATATCAGTCAAAGTTTTTTGTGTGTGTAATGATTTTACCAATTTGGTGTGTGGTTTTCCTGAAGAATGTTTCTGGATTTCTGATTTGCCACATATAAAATTTTTATTGCATGCCTTGCAGAATGCATAATTGGACCCTTTCTTGCTGCTCCTCAGCCAACCTTTAAATTCAGGTTCTTGTTCCCATGCAGCGGTAGGTATACTCGTATTTCTGAGTATAGGACTTTATATGATTTTTTTCTTTTTTCTTATGTGTCCAGCTTCTTCGGGAGAAGACGGTGAGGATTCCAATTCATCAGCATGTTTAGAAGTTGATGGTTGAGGTGTAATTGAGAACATGATGTTACATCTGTAATTATAAAGAAACAATAGCAAACAAATTCAGAAGTTTTGGTTTAAAATACATACATCATAGATATACATATTTAAGATATCAATATATATATCAATTTATAGAAATATTTTTTTATTAACTTTAATACTAGATAATTAATTTCTGAGTGAAGTCTGAAAAACCTCCCCGATCAAGTATAATAATTGAAAAAGTAAATATTTTATAATAAATAAATAGGTACTAACCTATTGCAAATAAGTTCAATGTCGAAAAACTTTAATGATTATTCGTTAATAATCTTAGAGCACACACTAAAAACAATAGTTATTCTAAGGCAAAGTTAGCACAGGGCACAATCCGTACAATTACATATAAACAACAGGAAATCCAACAGAAACCACCCGGCGGCTTATATATTATATTATAGCCCAGGTATTTCCCCGACCAGTTTTTTGTTACAATTTGGTATTCGTACATTTTAATATATTTTGAATAATATTTTATAGGTACAATCGGAAGGTATTTTAAAAGTAATATATTTGTATCTTAGTTTATTCTCTATCTCTCGGTTATTTTTTGTCCCTGCTGCTTAAAATTGTCTTACACAGTTTAGAATTCCCTAGATTTTGTACAAATTTAAATAAATTTCCCTTTTTTCCCTAAGCTTGCTCGTAATTCCCTAGATATAGGGAAATTTCCCTAGGTCTGGTAACACTGTCACTGCACTTAGTGCGTGTATGGTTTACGAGTCCATAATGGAGTGGGAGACTCTTCCTTTCCTCTACGAATTTTACTGTCTTTTCGGCGGGTTTCAAATATTTCGGGATAAGTACCAAGCCAGTCATCTCCCACCTCTTCCTAAATATTACCGTTCTCAAGCATTCATTCATCCCAGACAGGACGAAGCGGTGCTTTGTACACACAAATGACATAGACGTTTAATTACGAAATCTTTCACGTTAGTTTCAGCTAAAGTTTCTGTCTTTTCGTCATTCAGAATATGATTTTGATAATATTGTCCTTTGATCGACACATATTAACGTTCATTACAAAGTTTTCGCTGTTCCGTAAATGCAAAAATGGCGCCAAGTAGGTTGACTCTACTCTTTCCAAGCAACGCCGTTATCATTTCATATAGGCTTATGTTCAGCACAAGTAAGACCCTATTAAAATAAGATAGCGCCATAGATCTTATGTCCGGATAGAAGATAGCTGCTATGCTTTCGTTCATTGTCCGAGAGACCAAGTCATGCTGAAGAGTTGCCAGAAAAAGCACGAAACAGCTGTTTGTGTTGGGCTGTCTTTGGTTTGACAGACGAATGTAGCATATAGTCAGACCATCTACGAAAAAACTTTAAGGGAGAATGTACGGGCAATCTATGATGTGTGAAATATGTCTAACAGGTGCTTAGAATTATCGGCGCTGGAAGTGTAATTATATACTAACATCAAAAAAATGAGATACACCATCCTCCATCCTTTGATTCGTGAAAAAACTACTTTTGAGCGATTTTAATTTTTTCGTTTTTGGCCTTTTTCTCCGCCAGCGTTAGACCCATGTTCAAAAACTACAAAGCTTTTTCGTCCTAATCATAGTAGTAATCTTGCTAAGGAATAGCGGACAGACACAGAGAGACCGACGGAAATGAGTGACATGTTTTTTCGTGTTGTCCATTTCATATGGTATTAATGTAATCTAAATTTCAGGGAGCAGCCTATCCAAAGGAACACTTTGAGACGCAATCTCTTCAGAAAAATGATATCCATGAGCTTCTGGAAAATTTAAGGAGAGCAATACAAGGAGCCATTGATGCGGGCGAAAAACTAATAGGAAAGTCTATAGAGGCTCTTCAAAAACTGGGTGAAACCATTTTGGCGGGTATCATGGCCGCAGCAGGTAATGCAGCAATTATAATTTTTCTGTTATTGCGGTATTGAAGTATACTAAACACAAAGTAGAATTATCGATCTCATATTACAACCAACATTTTTATGATGGTTTCCAAAATGAGCTCTTTCAAAACTTACCCATTCCAATAATTTCAGAAAATACGAGGATAAGCCATATTGTCATTGAAAATAGGTAATAGGTAATAGACCAGGAAGCTAAAGACTGTCATATCAGAGACGTACACTGAGCAAAAAATTAATTAAGTCCATCACAATTTTAATAAGCCAATTAAAAAATTTTGTTAACTATATGACAGCTGACAAGTTTATTTAGTCTAATTAATCTCCGATTTCTAAAACAGTACACCAATTTATTTAAGATTAATGAACTATTGAAATGAGTTTATTATATTTGAATAGTGCTTGAAATTTAAAAGAACAAATAGCATTTTACTGAATGTGCGCTTAAAAAGTTGATGTTGATGATTGAGATTTTCGAATTTAAATAAAATCTAAATTTTGTAACCATTACAAAATTCTGTAATTTTTATTTTCATTGATTGTGAACCTATTATGTATGGGATTAAATTGTATCAATCATTTGTCTGATTGCCCAGAAATAGGCTATAATATTCAACATTCACGAGAAACAATTCTTTGTTTTAAATTCAGAAACAAGACCACTCGATCATACGTATAGAAATTGTACTTATATTTTTAAAAATAAAACAACATTGCACTCCCACGCAGTCAACGCATTTACACATAAATTTGACATCACTTCAAACAAAGTGTCCTGCCGAGTGCGCAATGTAAATAAATTGCTTAACTGTTTTTATTAAAATGCTTAATTGATTTAAATTTATATTTTGCTGCTTAAACTGAATTATATAAAAACATATTAATAAAACAGGGGTTTGCTACTTCTAATAAAACTGATTTCAGAAGATTCAGTTTAATTAAACCGTATTATTTAATTACTTAAAATAATTAAACAAATAATTACGCGTACCTCCAGAAAAACTGTTTAGTTGACCTCGTTTTCTCAGTGCACCTTTGTCAAATTTATTAATTTTTCTAGTGTCACTAATTTAAAAAAAATATGTGCTAAATTCAGACATCGTAGAAGAACACCCTTGATTCATTTGAAGAATGTGAGTAGATCCCTGAAAACCTAACAGATAATCAGTGGTTTGGTCGCTGCCGGATGACAGAACTTTCGTCTATTCTCCATTTCTAAAAAAACTATTCCACCTCTGATGCAAGATACATATGGAATTCACACGTAATAATTATGTTGTAGAAAAAGCCGTGAACAAGATTGTGAGTGAGATCATCGAGATTCAAGAGAAAGCAATTAAAGCAGGTCTGAATATAGAACACTGCATGATCAACGAAACTATCGCAACTCTAAAAGGATTACCGCGTGTCGCCTTTGAAGAAGCCGAAAAGTGCGTATTTGGGTTTATCAAGCAAGGTAAAGACTACGCGGATGCTGGAATTCAGAAGGTAGGAGATCTTCACTCTTTTGAATAGCTTAAACACAGACAATCAAACAAAAGTCCGAACACTATCCCAGACAAATATTATTAGCAAAACAATGCTATATTTTGCTAAACGTTATTATGTCGAAAAACTGCTCAAACACAATTTAAAGAGGACCTCCCAAAATTTTGACTTCCTCAAAAGTATGGCGTGACGTGGATATCAAGCGCCTAAAGGCCAGTATAAAGCGGTTTTCCAGAATAGTCTTCTGCCAAAGCTTAGCGTTTTTGTAAATTGAATCGCAGCTCAACTGATAATTATCAGAACGCTATAATGCATTATATCATTCTTCTGCTTCTGGAAGGATTTATCGGTTTGTGCAATAAAATATGGGGTATTTGGTTTAAGAAACAAATTTTGACATTCTATTACATATTCGAACATATTCTTCCAAAAACAGGGCGATATAGAATCCACTATGATTGGTTGTTAAATTATAAGTGACTTACGTGGTTTTGGAAAATTGTGATGAAATATTATAATAAATAATGAGGTCATTAGAAACTTAAAAATGAGACGCCGATTATATTAAAAAAATGATCCAAGGTGACTCCCCGCTTCTATGCATCAATCACTCGACCCAGAATTTCGGCTGGCTAACTGGCTATCTGATGTATTCATAAGGTAAGAAGGGAAGGGGTACCTTTATGAAAAGCAATGTATATTCTTATTCAAGGAAATCCATTCGTTAGCGTTTTTTAGACGCCTGATCTCCAAAATGAATCGGTGTTTTGAAAATTGTCACAGGATAATTATAGTCTATAAAATCGCCCTTTGAAAATACCCTGTAGAATCTAGAACTACTGAGTATAGTAAATGAACCATTTGCGTTTCGAATCACCCTGCACATGTTGATTAAATACGAATACATTACTAGGTTATTTAACCATTTCTAGACGCTTGGGATTCTTAATACATATTTCTGTTCTAGATCAAACACACATTGGACGAAATAACCATCATCGGTGACGAAATCGGCAAATGCGGAAACGATTTGGCTGCCATCCCTTGTCTAGCCAAGCTGTCCATCAGAATTGGTGTGGACATCGTACAGATCCCTCTAGCTATCGCAGATCAAGCGGCCAAGACTGTGGCTTTGATTGAAGGACTGAAGTTGCAGATACCCAAGTGTGCAACCGATGCTTTGATCAGAGTTGGCGTTGAGTCTGGAAAGTTGCTGCTCAATGTCACCAAGTGTGTTGCCGATGCAAAGAAATGATTTGTTGACTTGTTGTTGAGATGAACGAATTAATATTTTTACACTAATACTGTCTATTCTTATTTACCAACACTACGAGAAAACTAGGGATTCAAAATAATGATATACATTAAGCCCCAGAACGAATGGCGGGGAGGAGGGTTACTTACAATCAGAAAATGTATGTATTTGATGGGCATACAAGGTTTTCATAGCTATGAACAACTTCTGGATACTATGGCCTTCCAAAATACCTTTTAAGTAATTAGATACCATAAATAATTTCTGCGGAAGATAGACAAAATGGGCTAAGTACCATTAATCTGGTGCTACCTATTTTATGAACTTATCCTGTAACTGCCATTCTACCTTCTATATTCTGGATAGAGTTATAAAACCATTAAGAGACAATAAATCATCAACAAATCAATACCAGATCTAACCAAAGTAAGGAGAACTTGGTCCTCAAAAATTGAATTTAGGTGATTAGACACAAATACAGGTATACATGCACTCTATTGTCATTCTTTAGAAGACATATCCATACAACTGCAGTTTTCTACCCTGGTTTCCCTCAGAAGTCTGTTTGTGAAACATCTTTCCAGTGACTCCACGTTAGCTTAGGTTTCCTTGTCGATGGCGTTCGTTATGCAAGCGACACCTTCATCCTTAATGCTGTTGAGCTTTGTTACCGTTTCAGACATAACACTGTAGATTTGTGAAGGTACTCTACCCTGCTGTAAAATGAGTTCCATTTTTATGACTTCAAATGCATCTTTAATATCAGTTAACTAGAAAAAGTATGACAAGTGGATCAAGTTGATGCTTTCCACGCATTTATACGGTGCTTTTTAAAAAGCTCCCCCTACTCATTTTTGAACGAGTGAAATTGATGTATGAATACTGAATCTTAGCGTAAAAGTGGCAGTTGAAATTATCAAGGTAGCAGATGGAGCTTTTTCCAAATATAATGTGAGGTCGCGTGATACTTCATTTTGAAGCTCCTTACGAGTAGTCGATAGCACATTCTTAAAAAAAATCTTTTAAAGAGAATGATCCATATTTTATTTCGTATTCGGATAGGCACTTGCAAGAAAAGAAGATTGCTACAGCATGACTGCTTCCATGATTGGTTATCAAGTTATAAGCAACTTATGGTACGACAAAAGACGATGGAGGTAAGCATGGTAATGCCGTAGGGCTCCGTCCTAGGGCAGTTACTTTGGAACGTGTTGTACGATGAAGTGCGATCGCAGCTACGAGAATATAAAGTGTCCACTCCGAATATATAAGCACCCACCAATAAAGAAAACATTTATGAATTCAAATTCTAGCAAATTCGAGCTACCTTGCCCATACGATTAGGTTGGCCGAAGACTTTCAACTGAATGAGGAGTGGGGAGGCGCCATGCTGAACCAGAAACGTACTACCTTCTAAATATCTTCGGAGTGGAAACTTCATATAACTGCCTTCGAACTGCACAGATAAGTCCATTTAATCGATCAATTGATTAAAGTAACCACTCAAATCGCATCATGACATGTACTCCAACTATTTCCTTTATACCTAAGAAGGCGGGCGAGGGGCTTTAAAAGAAAATGGACCGGCAGCATCCGGTTTATGGTTCCTTGAGCTATTCTTATTTGATATCTGTTCACTTTGTGATAAACAAAACATTGGTTTCGGATTGCATTTAATGAAGGTCAAGTTTTGAATCATTGAAGATGACCATTTTTATGGGTTTGTAGACAAGGTCAAGGAACAATAATCCGGACTTTGCCGGCCCACTTTTTGGTCCATTTTCTTTCAAACCCCACCTTCTTAAGTATAAAGCAAATAGGGGGACTGTAACGAACCAAAATAAATTAGCCTTTTAAAGATAGAGTATCAATTCCTAGGCTAAACTCTCTTCGATAATTTTCTTTTGGCATATTTCATAATGATCTATTGATCTGGAAACTGCCTAATCCGGAAAGTATGATTTCACACATATATTTCTTTCTTAGCGAGTCAGTATTGTGTGGAAATCTTTCGGACACTAATGTTATAATATTTTATTAATGACTATCTCAGAAATTTCCTCATCAAATATCGATGGTATCTCGTAAAGTTGGTTATCTAGGGTCCACCCATAGGCAACTTTTGACATTGATTGACAGTCAACTGACTGTCGCTCATATTTCATGTTGAAGTTCTGGTTAAGGTGTATCGGTCTTTCGTTTGATTTTCAAATTTTGGGATATTGGGCCCCAATCACAAGTTTATGGAGTAGTACCCCTTTTTGTACCTACATTACCTTTACTTGTTTGTTTTGGATGTTGTTTGGGTGCTACTATCTCCGTTTTTATGGAATTTTAACCTCTTCAGCGTGAGAAGGGATTGAGGAAATCACCGTCCAGCTTTGTAGCTGTTTCGTAGCTGATTTTGCTGCGAACGACCCCTTTGTATTGAAAAAAAACCTTGATGTAAGCGGGTAAAATATCATTTTAATTAACTCTTATAAATTTTTACTGATTATACTTGACTGAAATTCTTAGAGTGTACTTGATTTTGTTCAAATGTGGGGCAATGCCTACATTGCCACCTTCTATTGAGCTTACTCTATTACATTGATCATGATTTTGATTTCTGAGCTGCCATACCTTTTTTAGAATAAGGGATACCTTTTTGAGGGTATATCACTTTAATACATTTCCCTTTTTTTGCCTTTGCTTTACTCTTTTTGTCAAAAAGGTACATGGCTTTTTCAAGTTCGGGTGTTTTAATGAGTAGACTTGTCTCATAAAGGGAATAGAGTAAATTTTTGAGCAGTCTCACTCTCTCTAAGGTTTTTTGCACTGTACATTTTGAATACGAGGCAAGCAGCCCCTAATTTGTGAAGTGCCTTACGTCTCTGTCCACTACTGGTCACAGCTGAGATCATCTCGGCTGCGCCTACAGACTGAACTGGAAGAAGACCACAATCACCCAAGTTTAGGTTTAGACCCTTTAATATTTGTAAAACCGTATAACACGGTAGACGATTAGCGGTGTTACATTTTAAACACCCCTTTGTGCAACAATTGTAGATAATATCTTTTTTAACTTGCACTTTGCACTCCAGTGGTGGAACATTTTTATTGTGGAGCATATTGTTGTGAAACATTTTATTACGGAACGTATGTGTTAACAAACAGTTAATATATTGTGATTATTCTTCTCGAGGATTTATGGCTTAATCCGTCTTGAGTCACTGGCGCTCTTAACCCCCCTACTCTCCGCTTTATTGAGCTAGGCCTAAATTTGCACGCCACTAGACAGCTGTTTTGCATTGACTCAACATTTGATTTTATTTATATCGTGTTTTATTAATTTATTAATTAATTACAAAAAAGGAAGGAGGAAACGCCACAATTTGAAGGGTTATTTATAATGAGAGGTGAGCTGATTTAGGAAGGTACAGGAACTAGGGGTCGTATCGTCAGTCGTTTCTAAAATTGTAGGATGCCTTTATGACCTCCTCAATTTCCATAGTCTTTCCTCTACTTCAGAAAGGCTGTGGTATTTCTAGATTTCCACTGTTCCGTGTCAGGGTCAGCGCTCTGCTATTGTGAGGCTATGTTTCCTTTTTGAATTGTAGAAAATTTCAGGATGTTATAATAAATGATAGATAGATAGAACGCTGACAAGGAAATGTTTAAAGCTATGAAAATCAAGGAGGCCATAGAGGAGTCCTACAATTGAAAGAACGACTGACAATACGTCGCTGTTATTTATTAACTAATAGTGGCTGTGGGAAAAGCGTGCTCCTTCGAACATTCTTCAACTTGTTTCACCAACTTTTTGCCTATCTTGATTGTTTTTGCCACAGATACTTTTACACATGAGTATGCTTGTTTCATGAACGACGTTGCCAGTTGCGTTATGTCGGATATTTGATACGCGATTTCTCCAGGAACTCTGATGATGGCTTTTGAGATTTCGAGAGCAACGTTCGTGATACAGCCAAACTTGTAATTTTTTCCGCATTTAATACCCTGTTTGACAAGGACGTAGGTTTCATTGGATATCCTTGTTAGCTGCAAGAAAATGAGAGTACTTGATACTTTTGAATAAACATTAATTACATGTATATATATACGAGGGATGTCCTTTAAGTTTTGTATATAGAAACATAGTAGGCCGAGCGAATCGAACGTCACTACTGAATCTTAACCTCACTGTTTAGTAAACTTAAATTCAAAGTTTCACAACAATACGTGAAATGTTCTCACTACAGTGAATTTTCAAGTGTCACCATGTCATTAGAAAAATGTAACTCAACCGAGAACATTTTCGCGCCATAGTTTATTACAACCTTCAGAGACAATTATCAAAAACAAGAATGCCTTTGTGAGTTACTGTCTGTTTTCGGCAACGAAGCGCCACATCAGTCGACAATTTCCCGTTGGTATGGAGAATTCAAACGTGGACGGGTGAGTCTTAGCGACGATCACAGGGTGGGTGCACCAAAAACGGCAGTCACCCAGGAAAACGCTGATGCTGTGCGCCAACTCATCATTGAAGATAGACATGTGACATATCGCGGGATTGAGGCGTCCTTGAAGATCTCAAAGACCTCAATTCAAAAAATTTTACATGAAGAATTAGGAGTAAGAAAATTAGTTTCTCGTTGGATACCCCACCTGTTGACTGAAGAGCAGAAAGCAGCCAGGGTTAATTGGTGTCAAAAAACGCTTGACCGTTTCTCAAAAAATGTGTACAGCATTGTTAGTGGTGATGAATCGTGGATTTACTGTTATGAACCAGAAAATAAACGACAGTCGGCTGTTTGGGTGTTCCAAGGTGAAGAAAAACCAACAAAAGTCATCCGTTCTCGAAGTGTTTCGAAAAAGATGGTCGCGACATTTGTGTCAAAAGCGGGTCATATTGCAACAATTCCTTTTAATGAGCAAAGAGCTGTTACTGCGGATTGGTATACCACCATTTGTTTGCCAAAAGTCATCACCGAGCTTCGAAAAATCAACCCCGAAAGAAGAATCATCCTCCACCAAGACAATGCAAGCTCGCACACAGCTCAAAGAACAAGGCAGTGTTTAACGAAAGAAAACGTGGAATTATTGGACCATCCTCCATATAGTTCCGATCTAAGTCCCAACGATTTCTTTACTTTCCCGAAAATTAAAAACATAATGCGTGGTCAAACGTTCCAGTCACCAGAAGAAGCAGTTGACTCATTCAAAAATGCGCATGCAGATGTGTATTAATCTTCGTGGAGAATACTTCGAAAAACAATAAAGTCATTTAAAACTATCTACCCTGCTGTTTTATTTCCATATGCAAAACTTAAAAGACATCCCTCGTATATATATATAACAAAATGTAGGAAAATAATGGGAAAAATCCGCAAAAAGGATGAAAGTGGATTTGAGCTGAAAATAGGATAGATAACCCGAACGATTCGTATTTCTGCTGGTTGGCTTCATCAGGTCTGAAATGAATATACATATGCAACTACAAAGGTAGATACACATGTCCACACATCCGGATACGGGTGTAACCTTAGGAAATGAAGATTTCGAGGGAAAAAATCGACACACGAAGTCCACAACAAGAGCCAACCTACACATTGTAGTATAAAATGGCTAAAAGACCTCGAATTATCAAGGAGACATCTAACCATAACCACGCGGCCGATTATAGCCACTTGCTGTGGTACTTCAAGCCCAAAGGATCTACAAAGAGAAAACGATCATGCGGAGAAAGGTATACAGGTATAACAAAAAGTAGGAAAATAAAGGGCAAAATCCGCAAAAAGGATGAAAGTGGATTCGTGCAAAAAATAGGATAGGTTACCCGAGCGATACGTATTTCTGCTGGTTGGCTTCATCAGGCCCGAAATGAATGTACATATGCGACGCGCTTGCGCATTTAGGAAAAAGTGTTCCAACCTTGTCCGTCACAGTAACAGAACGGTTCTGCATTGTGTTCCAACCCGTTTTGGGATCGACTTGGGACGGTTTTGTTATGGTGATATCGGTACCTACACTGAACTGAGAACTAAAGGAACTGACATGCGCAGAAGAGCTATAAAGCTATAAACCAAAGCAAACGGTAAATGGCGGTTAGTTTATATGATCCTGACAGCTACCAGCAATGTTGCCAGATCGACAAATACCAGTTCCGTGGTTTGTTGGAGTGAATGTACCTACGTATTTGCGGATTCATACAATAATAAAATATACCGGCTTTATGAAGGCCGAAATTTAGCCAAAGGCTATTTATATATTTAAAATGTACATACACTACACAATAATTCAGAAAAATGTAATACACAGAATCAAAATCAGTATCCTCAAAGAAAAAATATCTTCTCTGAAATAGTGTTGAATGGATGAATGGTCACGAGATATGCTCAAGTTATATCTCTTTGCCTTAACTTTAGAAAGTGTAAGTTTTTCAAATGAATATGGTAGGGTGGAAGTCGTTGCTGATTCATTTACAAATGTAAGATAGACATAGTAGAGTACAGTTTTCTTTCCACAGTCAGCCAACCAGTTTTACTTCATCGTTGCTGATATATGATCATATTTTTTAGTCCTTAAACAAATCTACATCAGGGATTTTGAACTTATTGCAAACGCATCTTTATCACAGTCCAGGCAACTGTAATATAAGATATCAGAGTAATGTACCACATATATAAAACCATTGATTCACATGAAGCTCTTTTAACGTCAGCACTTAATACATGTTTATTTGCATAAAAAAATTTGAACATGATTTTTGAATAATGCTGTTGCAGGTGGAAGGAATCTCAAGATTTGATCAAACGTTACACCCAAAATATTTAATTTTTATTTTAATTTCAAATTACCTTCTAATAAGTAAATGTTACGATTTAAATTTATTTAAGCCATGTCATACTTCAAGAGAGTGTCAAGTGTAATCAACATTGTCGCTAAATAAGCGAATTAAATAGAACATCTAAAGCTCTTCATAGCTATGCCGACAAATAGGTAGATCAGGCAACATTGGCTATCCTGTCAATTTTTAGGCACAAAACGATTCCGAATCCGTTCCAACACCTTTTACAGTGGGACAAAGCTCTTGATGACATAGGATTACCTGTTCTGGGTTATTTTTACTTATTCATCTAAATTATCATAATCATACTATACCTGAGTCTTAATATCATCCGTATAATTTTTCAGTGACGCAGCGACATGGCTTTTGCATTGTACTATAAGGTTTGCCAAATCGTCTGGCAGATTGTCAATTCTTTTAGAGGCTTCGTCAATTAAACAGACGTTAATTTCGACGTTCTGACCACCGATTTGTTTTTTCAACCCAACAAGCGTTTTTCCAAAGTCTATCACTTTACTGCCTGGAACAAAAATGTTTTTTCTACAACTGACAAATAGAAAAGCATAGGCAAAGCGAACACTTTGAGCAGAGAAGGTCCCCCAATATATCCAAACCATGAATCGTATCCAAATAGTTACGCATATTCATTTATCATTTGTCTTTACTTAATAATCGTCAGTCACTTATAGGAGAACAATCCTGTTTATTTGGCTACCGGTCAACAGGTTATGATTTTCTAAGGAAATCATTGTCTTTGGAATATAAATGTTACGAGTATGTGATTATAACTCCTGCTTTATATCATTTCCATCACTGGTTTTCCAAGGCATATAACATACAGTGTGTTCCTTGATGATATCCGAATATTCAAGGGTGTGAATCTACATGAAAAATTAATGTTACTTTGCTTTATAAACTATGGTTCAAAAATGTTTCCTTACCAAAACTCGCTATAGGAAAAAAATGGAAATGAATTAATATTCACAGAACCGCTCCAGATATTTCACTGATATTTAGTACGTAGGGAAATTTGATAAAGTTGCATATTCTTCAATGCAAAAATAATTTTCAGATTTAACAGTGGCGTGCGTACGGGTATTCACTTCGATATTTTTTAAGAAAAAAATGTATGCCAATAGTTTTTAGCCAAATAAAAATTATTTTTGAATTCCCCGTTCAATTTGAAACAAATGATCTGAATTATTTTCCTTCGATGCACCATTTTTGAGTAAAAAAATAAAAACCGTTCTAGTGTCCGAGAAAATTAATGTAATAATTGAAGAATGCAATTTAGCAATAAATATCTAGTTGGTCTGGAATATGTCACTGGCTTTTGACATCTGACAAGTCTCTGTTATTCAAATCTGTTCGCTTCTTTTTCATTATTTAGTTTTTACAACCTTATTAATAATGGTGAATTATTCGAATGCAGAAATGGCGCAATGCATTACGTATATGGCCTTGCACACGGTAATGGTGAGCAAGCCAGTCGGATTTATCACCTCTCCCTGCAGACATTCGTCAGAAAATTTCTGACAAAAGAACTGCAATTAAGCAAGCGAAGAGGTCTTGTCACCCAGATAACATTCACAGAGCAACAAATCTTGCTCATGAAGTGAGAAATGCTCTTCATGAATTCCTCTCTCGAAAGTTGCAAAGTCGCTCAGAAACGGAAAGTGAGAACTCCCGCACATCCACGGTCCTAATGGCATAGTCTGTAGGACAGACGAAAATGTCGAGGTTTTCGCTGTTGCAATGGAAAGTCACTTCTCTGCCAACTATGACCTTGATAATGACCTCGACGAGGAGCAACATATTGTAAGATCCATCAGGAGATATTTTAGGGCCAACGGCGTCAGTGGCAGTAGTGCCTCCCTTAGTGATTTCTCCTCAGAGGAATCTTCAGAAGATTCCTCAACTGAAGAGCGGCACATCAGCGGAATCTCCTGAGACTCCGCATTGCACACCAGCAGAGCTCCAAGGTCATATTAAAGACCTCAAGTTGCGCAAAGCACCTGGAGAGGACCGAATCACTAATAAGGCGCTGAAGCTACTTTCGCGAAAGTCCTTAACTTATCTCGTGGCAATAATCAATGCTATGCTAAGGAACCAGCACATCCCAACGGCGTGGAAGACCTTTGATGTCATAATGATTCCAAAGAAGGTGGGTTCTATATTCCCCCAGGATTACCGCCCCATTAGTCTACTGTCCTTCTAAGTTCGCTGAAAAGGTGATTCTACGTCATCTTGAAAATTTCTCGGCAGATCACAATGTGATTCCTGAGCTGCAATTTGGCTTTCGGTCTGAGCATAGTACGGAGCTACAGGCCATAAAGCTTGTTGAAGGAGTAACCAGGGGGTTCACTCGTAACGAAAGTACTGGCATCTTGCTTTTGGATGTCTCAAAGGCATTTAACAAGGTGTGGCACAAGGATCTTCTCTACAAATTGATCCATAAGGACTTCCCCTTCTGGCTCCTGAAACTTTTTAAATCCTTCCTCGAGGGTAGGAAATTTCGGATCAAAATTAACAACGTTCTGTCGACAACACGGCCCATCGAAGCCGGTGTCCCTCAGGGTTCGGTTCTTGGACCAGTCCTTTATTCACTTTTTATTCATGACGTCCCTTGCCCCAGCAAATGTTAAACCTATCTCTATGCTGATGACACTGCCCTGGTGGCCAAGTCGTGCTCTGGGGATCTAGTTCACGACAGGCTGAAAAGTGCAGTGGATAAGGTATTGGAATGGGCGAGTCGATGGCTGATCAAAATTAATCATTCGAAAACGCAGGGAATCTATTGTACTAAAAAACGTAGCGGCGCAACGTCTGAGGTTTCAGTGAATGGAGCTCGGGTACCATGGGAAAGCTCTGCTAAGTATCTCGGTGTCACTTTTGATAAGGGGATGGCCTGGCAGAAGCACACTGAAGCATTAAAAACTAAATTCCAACAACTCTACCCTATGCTATGTAGAACATCAAAATTAAGTTTGACCTACAAAGTTCGGCTATACAAGATGGTTATTAGAAAAGCGATCACTTACGCAAGTGCGGCTTGGTGTTTTCTCGCCAAAACGCATTTGCGTAGCCTGCAGGTTTGGCAGAACAGAACCTTGCGTACAATCACTAACACCCAACGAGACCCTTCGCAGAGACCTTGACATCCCTTACCTAAGGGACTACATCAAACAACAAGCGCAGCTACGTTATAGTCAAGCGGAATCGCATAACAACACTTTGTTGCCCGAGTAAGTAGACTACACAGTCGAGCAAGTTCGCAAGCACACAAGGCCGCGACTCGCACTGTGAACAAAATTAAATCGTGCGACTTTAGGTCCAACCAAAATTATAATTTTTCTTCAACAACCAATCCCAAAATTAATTTTAGTATCGACCCTCAAATTGATGCACTTCTTTTTTCTTTGCTCTCCCTCCTTCCTTCCTTCCATTCTTCTTCCCCTTTTTCTCCCTGACTTTGTTTGGTATCTGGGCAACCAGACCTGACAGACCTACTGACTTACAAGACTTTAACCAAGAGCAAAGTTCCGACAGACCGCTCTGACTGTCAATGACGAATAGAGAGGATTTATCACCAGGGATATCCCGATCGTGCTTTGCCAGATAGTCGAACCTTTTCTAATATTCATCGTCGCCTTGTTGAAACTGGTTCTGTCCGAAAAGGAACATCTGAAGATATACCTCTAAGTGTGAGAACACCTGAAATTGAGGAAGCAGTGCTGCACGAAGTCGAAGAACATCCTGAAACGAGTACGAGGAAGATCGCTAGACGCTTAAATGTTTGCCATCAAATTGTTTGGAGAATTTTAGTGGATTTTTTGGTATATCCTTACCATATCTTAAGAGTACAGGCATAACTTCCCATTGATTTTCCAAAGAGTGTAACCTTTTGTCAATGGTATCTTCAAAAAATTACACAAAATCCGTAATTTGAATCAATGATTCTGTTCACGGACAATAATCATTTGTGGGCCGAAGAAAATCTCTATGCCGCATGCCGTAACCGAAACTCATTTCCAACACCAATTTTCGGTTAACGTATGGGCAGGAATTATTGGCTCATTCTTCTTGCCGGGACGACTTGACGGACAGACTTACCTCAATTTTCATCAACAACAGTTGCCTTTGCTGCTTGATGATGTTCCGTTAGTAATAAGAAACAATATGTGGTACATGCATGATGGTGCATCAGCGCATTTCAGTGTAGCGGTTAGTAATTATTTACAAACTGTTTATCCAAATCGTTGGATTGGCCGCGGTGGGCCCCAAGAATGGCTACCAAGGTCCCCAGACCTCAACAGTTTAGATTTCTTTTATCTTAAGACACTAGTGTACACAAGTCATATTAACATTGTAGAGGAATTACGAGAAAGAATAGTTGCAGCTTGCGATAGAATAAAAAACACTCCAGGGATATTTCAACGAGTGCGCAATTCCATGACAAGGAGGACCGAAGCATGCATACTAAGTGAAGGGGCCCATTTTCAGCAATTTATGTAATCATGTCGTCGGTTTTAATGTTATGTTTATGTTGTCAGTTGTTGTTGTAAGTTACCCCTAATGTGTTTAATTTTTCCAATTAAGTTAATAATTTTGCAAGTTAGACAATAGAACAGAAAAATAATTCAAGAGAGATCATTTGTTTTGAAATGAACGGGAATTTTTACAATTATTTTTATTTGGCAAAAAACCATTAGCGTACCATTTTTTTCTTAAAAAATATCGAAGTCAGTACCCGTACGCACTCCACCGTTAAACCTAAAAATTATTTTTGCATTGAAAAACATGCAGCTTTATCAACTCTCACTACGTACTGAATATCAGTTAAATATCTGAAGCGGTTCTGAAAGGATTAATTAACTTCCATTTTTTTCCTAAAACTTCAATTCCCCGAGTTTTTGTAAGGAAACATTTTTGGACCATAGTTTATAGAGCAAACTAACATTAATTTTTCATGCAGATTCACACCCTTAAATATATGCATATCATTAAGGAACACCCTGTATATCTAACGTACTTCTCCAGTCATGTAAGTCAGCCTTCGTATCTCTTACGGTTTTCAAGATCCCAATGGTGAGAGTCGAATTCAAAACACCCGGTATATAAAACAAACAAAAAATTAATGACAATGATAATAATGAATATTCAATATTTCTAGAGCTTAAAGTAGATTTAATAGTGACATGAAAAGTTTATATAAATATGGGACCTACGATTACCTAAGTTATGGCTTCAAATTTTGTGCTCTTAGTAATAACAGTATACCTATTGCATACAAAATTTCTCGTGTTTGAGACACCAGTGGCAAAGAAAAAACACATTGCTGTGTAACAACTTCCTGCTTTACCATTACCTAGTCCTCTGGTTAAAGTTAACTATCGTATAGGGCAAACGTGAAATTGAATAAGGCAGTTTGAGGTTTAATTTCCTGTTAGCAGTAATATTTTAGTTAAGCTGCGACTGAAAACCTGGGTCTTAGTAACTAAACAGTAGCAACCAACGAAGCATTGCGGTTTATTTTATAACACGGATGAATATAAATTAATTTAGATATTTTCCCCAATTCTATATTGATGCAATGGTGGCAGAGCGCTTGAGGTGTCCTTTGTCGTCCGATCCGAACTAAATTGGCAGGTTTGTCGTTCGTTTTAGTATGTTTTTCGATGTTTTATTTTGATAATAGGCAGATCACAAGTCAAAAAGTAAAATCAAAATTTCGATCACCATGTTTGCTGCATCCAGCCGACTAGTAAAATCCAGAACTCGGGAATATACCATGTGAACAAAAATAGACCCAAATGTTATTATCACATTTTGTACATCTTAACCACAATCAATAATGAAATTATATTTCGAAACAAGACGTTTCTGTTAACCTAAAGAACATGTTCCGTATGCACTTCAATTTTTGAGCGTTTAACGGTATTCAAGCCATCTTCCTTGACATTTTTGAAAATTTTCATAGTTCTTACTTCCCTATCAGCTATTTGTTGGAACTGTAAAGGTGTCTCAGTTCGCCTTTAATAGCCCAGTCACAATATGACAGCTAGATGGCTGACGATTCTGGATTCTGTCCAATAAAAAAGACAGCCAACTATGGACCGCTGTTTCGTGCCTTTTGGGTACTCATCAGCATGGCCTTAGTTTAGTTTCTTATTCCCCCTTTCCTAAAAATGAAGTATCTGTTCATTCTAATAACAAAGTTAGAGTATTCAATCCAAGAAGTTAACTGTCAGAATTTCGTAATTGTGATACTTTTTCACTCGTTTTGCATTGTTTCGTCTGGAGTAATAACATAATCAGAGGGATTTCTCACTTAGTAGAGGGAAGGCGGTAGTAATCGCTTGATCAAAGGATTTGCTAATTTCGTCTAGCACTCCGTTAATGACTTTTGCAGCTGAGTCGAGGCCCTTATCAACCCTATTCTTCAAAGATTTGGCTACTTGGTCGAAATCTATCAAACCCCTTAATTCAGCGACATCAGAGTAGTCCTCGGCTTCAGCTTGCTGGCATTCTACCTGAAATTCAGACAGTTTTCATTACGGAAGTAGGAGCATTTTTAGATCTAATTGAATTTCATTATTTAAAGGAGGAATTTTAGGTCCCACTTTAATGTCGCACGTCCGTTTTCTTCGCAACTACCTGTTTGCAGCAGTATTCTAAATTTACTTTTTACTTCACTTCAAGATGTGTATAAAATTCAATAAAAAACATCGTTTTTAATTATGTTTTGTCATAAAATGCATTTTGTGTGCATTTTATTGTGGATTCTTTTATTCGATCGTAATTTGCAAACAAATATTAGTACATCTCTGAAATTGTATGTGAATATTCCACTTTTATGGATGAACGAAGCGGGTGATTACTTTTATTTTTATCAGTTTTTCTCTCCAAATTATCTTTGTTTTTCTTGAAAACTCGACTTGCTGCGAAACGAGGCATCAAAAAAATGAAACATTTTTCGAAAAGAAAAAGTGATAAAAATAAAAACAGAGGAATATTCACACACAATTTCAGATCTGTAGTTATATATATATATATTATATAAAATGCACAATAAAATGCACAAAAAATACATTTTTTGGCAAAAAAATGGAAACATTGTTTTTTAGTCGTCTATATACACACCATGAAATTGTCATTATGATGAAAGGGATTTAGAATACTGCTACAAACAGGTGGTTGAAAGAAAAAACTAAAAAAAAGGGACGTGTCACCTTAAGAGAAAAACATCATATGAATGCACGTACACATCTTGACTTTTGAGATACAGGCTGGTAAAGTCTTTAATAAATAAATCATTTATTATTAATAACTGTGAATAACAATTTAGATATTTTAATGAAGATTGACATACATATACAACGCATTTTTACCTACCTATTTTGTCATGTTATACCACCGATTTCTCTTAAAATTAAAATATTTTTGAAATCCCCAAATTTGATTCCTGGAGTTTTTTCAATCCGATGTGCGGTTTCCGCTTAATATAATAGAAACCTTTTCTCTACGTGATCATAACAATATCGTTGATATGACAATATGCCTATGCAGAGAAACAGCTAGAACACCGAAATGCTGGCAAAAAAATACAATTTCTACGGCATTTATACGATTTTCAGTACTACATGGTTCTTTAGGCCTCTGATTTTAAATCTCGAATTAGCTTCTCTCTCTGAAGGCATTTGAAGGTCACTTCAAGATCATATCAAGGACATTTTCAGAAGAAGCCGAACAGTTGAGTCTAACGGCATGCCATTTATGTTCGTCTAGTTGATAAGTTTGACTCAGAGGTCAATTAGTCATTATGATGTCATTTCAAGGTTTTTTCAAGGTCAGTTTAAGGACTAATTGAAAATAAGTCCAGCATTCGAGCCCATGCGCGTTATACGTAAATTTTTGCGGTTGTTGAGTCAAAATCAGAGATTAGATTTGAAGGGTATTTTGAGCCCTCTCAAAGGATACATTTGAAAAAGTTCGTTAACATAACTTATTTCAATTGGTACAAAGAAAGGGATAAGGGAGTGAAGCTACAGGTGGTAAGCGGCTCAACTTACAGTGAACACGAAAACAATAACAATGACAGCTTTCCATTACATCAAATGAAAGTTCTCTCTCTTTGTTATGATTAATAATAATAGTAATAAATGGGCTTTATTTCGTACCTAAGTAAAAGTACAAAAAAGGCGAAGTGTCGCTAAGATTAGCGTTTTTCAACTTAACCTTAATACCCAAATCTTTTCAACACTAAGAGAACACGGCATTTTTGAATCATACCCCAAAAACTTGGTAAACCATGGTAAAGGTAGAGCAAGAAAAGTTGTATGTCTAACTTGTTGTTTACGGAATTATCTTTAAAATAGGAAATAATTTACATTTATATACCTTGTTTTTTCAATGTTTTCCAGGTTTTTATTTTAAGAAAAGTCAGTAGCATGCCACTGACTTGCTATGTTGAAAGCTTTACCACCCTGTATCTCAAAAGTTAAGAGGTCTATACTCCTATGAAGTTTTCTTGTTAAAGCGGAATCAAAAATCGCCCTTTCAAATATTGACATCCAGTCAGGAAACTATACACAATGTGTTATTAAAGTATGTAGACAAACTTTAACCATCGAGTCCTTGGTCAATTCGAAGACGAAATTTCCATATGTTTTCTAGCTAGAGCATATTAGTACTAAAAGAAATGGTGATATTGTTCTAAAAAATTATGAAAGAATGGAACGTATTTTATTTTAATTAAGTATGCCCTGTGGTGAATATCACATGACAGTCAGTTGTTTACAGACCCTCCATGTACGTAGATACGGATAATGTTATCCAGTATTTTTTGAAAAAGTAGCATGACATTGATTTGTTTTGATCGCAATACGTTTAATATTTAAGCTTTGTGCTTATCTAGACACCTATGAAGTACCCGAAACAATTGAATTAATTTATTTTGAGCCTCAGCAACTTGTAAAACATGCAAAATTTATCATAGGTTATACCAACTGTTCGTTAAATACGTTTCTTTATTCATAGAAATATTTGGAACATTATTCGTATTTCTTTAGTGATACCTAGTGCTCTAGCTCGAAAAGAAAGCCGCTACGGACCCATGTCCATATGAACATTTAGTCTTCAAATTGACCAAGGATTCGATGGTTAAAGTTTGTCTACATACTTTATTAACACCCTCTATAGTAGTATAGCATACTAATTACGATTTCTGTTCCTGATTGGAGTCTTTATCTGATGACAGGGGTAGTTGCTTTGGGACTCCAGTCAAGATTTTTTTTAAATTCATGATTTATGTATGTAAGTAGGTAGTCTCTGACTCGGATCCAGGTGCTAAGCAAACGTTAGGTTAGGTTTAATGAAGGATCCACACGTTTGTGAGTATGTTAGTTTGCTCAGGCAAAGCAGGTATAACCAATTTGACGTCATGAAGCGTGAATGATCGGTACCAATCTCTATCTGTCTTGCGGAATCCAAAGTAATCTGTGCTACTTCTCTTGTAATAAGTCTAACACTTAAAGCAAATATATTAAATATTTTTCAATGGGATATCTATTAGTGTGTCGTATGAAGGCTTACCTGCGAAGATAGAGCACAAGTTACGAGGAAAAAATGTAAGCATTTTTTATACGTCATATTCCTGATACTTTCAAGACGCACTGGATATGACAACGTATCAGCTATTTACTGGAGGTCGCTCAATGACAAAACAAGTGACTGGTATAACGGTCCAATCACATTTATTCAGTTTAACAATGTTCAGCTTGCAACAAATATGAATTGTATAAATTATTACCGAATTGTTCATACATTTATTTTTGTTTCTCAACCTATCCATTTAAAAACTGTTCTGCTGCTCGTTTTCTGATAAGGTTTCTATATGACTGATTTATTACATCAGCCTTCTATGAAGTCTTCTCCTTACAAGGCCGTTAGAAATACCTGTCCACCAATCTCTATCAATAATTTACAAATTTTACAATTTGGACTATTGGTAGGAAAAATTAATGAAATGATATGCTCCTATGGTACTGATTGAGGAAAACACACGTATCCGTAAATGCCATATAGAGTTTTCCAACATAAAGCTTCACGGCGTGCTTAGAATAGGGGTGGTTAAACCTTCTGATAAGAATATTTAAGGATTTTACCTCCACTATTTTAACCTAAATATCTCCAAAACGATTAATCTGACAAAAATTCCAGATAATACAAAACTTATGGAAAATTGAATGGTATTTTATAAAATGCACTTCTTTCCTCCGAAAAGGCCAGTGGCGTGGAAAGTATTTTCTGTTAAGGTTAAGTACCCCAGTCTCTACGTCCATGGTTTAGTTTAGGCCTGTTCATTGCTGATGATGTATCTCGGTAAGGGAGCATCTTTGAACGTTTGTAGGAACTTTTTTGTTATTTTTGGACGTATTTTACACTTTAGAAATATTAGAACGTGTTTCGGACACAGCCTGTATACCTAATACGGCGTATTATGTTTATAAATAGTTGATAAATATATGTTGAAACTCCTCAGGACTACATGCCTGTGAATTTTTATATAAGCATATATTTTTTATGAACAGATTGATGAAAAATATCGAAAATATGAACCACTAATTACTAAAAAGTGCCAATTATGCATAATTTTATATTCTTCAAAGATTCTTGAAGCCGCTCCACACTCACGCGAGAATCACGCCGATTTTCTTGGCAAGAATCTCAGCGAAAATCTCGGCGAGAACTTCTTTGGGTCCACACTCTCAAGGTTCTCAATACAGTTATCGTGTTCGATGACGACGGACGCAGAATTAAAAGTCGCGACAAGCTTATTACTCAGCACATACCCTCTGCAGCTGGCTAATCACGATTTTTTTTGCTTTTTAATTCTTCAATGAGTATTTCCTTCAAGATACCAATACGTTTCCACGCATTTCAAGTAGCTGCATGAAATTATCGTCGCATTAGCAACAAGAGCCATAACATGTATTTTGCATCGATCTTCGGCCATAACTTTTTTACTATTAGTCGGATCTTTTTACGTTTGGTCTCATTCTGTAGGTCTCGTAAATACCTAAAAATCTTATCCAAAGAGTTTTTTGGTTCCTGACACGTTTGCCATTCTTTGTTGTCGAATAAAAAATTGGTATACCCATTTTATGCGTCCATGTTTTGAATACCCCCTTGAATAACTTGCATCAATAAAACTAGACTTTACATCATTTCGGGAAAATTTGCTAATATGATTAGACTAATAAATATAGGTCCAGAAATGCTTCATTTTCAAGGTACAGGGTGTCAAAGTTTCTTTAAAAAATCGGTTTTCCTAAATAACTTAATGATTTTTCAGCCAAGCGCTACTTTAGCCCCAATTAGATTTAAATTATTAAGTTCAGTGGGGTCACGAAAAACACCCTAACCAATATCTTTGACAAAAAATTGTACGCCACTTCATTTCCATTTTTTTAATTTTTTTTATTGATGTGAGCAGCTAAAAATGCAACTTTTATGTCTTTTGAGTTTCTTTCATATCTCACTTAGTTTGCGAAATAAATAAAAAGCACCTTATTTCATGTTTTTGATAATTAAGTTACACGAAAGTGGTCTTCTGAATTTTTTTGCTCAGATTATACCTGCTTTAGATAAAACAAATAAACGTAAAATATTTACATAACATTATTGATTGTTGCAATGTTTTCCCAGTGGCGTTGAACATTGGTAACGCTGGAAATTAAAAAAAAAATCGAACCGGAAAAACGTCTTTTTAAGACCACACTCAAACTTTTATTTCAATGAAAACATAAAATAGTTGCTGAAAATGCCCTCAATGCACGCATTAGCTCATCTTAGCATTGATTGCCGAACTCGTTGGGATATTCCCGACGTATGTCTTATCTGATCACATGAATCTCGTATCCGTTGGGTTAATTCTTCTAGTGTTGACTGGAGCTTTGTAAACGAGGGAGTTTGAAAGCCCCCCAAAGAAAAAATCCAGCGGACTTGAATCCGGTGACTTGGGTGGCCATGACTGTGGACCTGCGCGCCCGATCCAGTTTTCTCCAAAAGTTGCATCCAAAAATTGGCAAGCTACTATGCTGAAGTGAGGTAGAACACAATCGTGCTTAAACCATATTGCTCCTTTTACTTCAAGCGGGACATTTTCTAGTATTTCAGGTAAGATAAATTCAAAGAAATTACGATACTTTTGACATTTAATTTCGGGAATAAAAAATGGGGTCCAATGAGATAATTACCTACAATACCAATCCAAACGTTGTTGATAATTAACTTCTGTGACCGCATGGGGATTTTCTTCAGCCCAGATATGATTACTGTGAAAATTCATAATTGAATTTCGGAAAAAACACGTTTCATCAGTATATAAATACGGGTTAGAACTCTTAGAAACGATACCTGCTGTTACAAAAGCCAAGTACAATAAACGACTCGTTGAGGAAAATCGGAAGGTAATAACGCTTGAATGTATGTGGTAAGGCTATAGTTGATAATTATTTCCTTAAAATCTGCCATACAGTAAATGAGAGATGTTTAATTAAGCCAATTTTGACAGTTCGTAACTAATCAACAATTTATTTGTTTCCAAGGATGATGCGATATTCTAGGGAATTCAGCCGTTCCATAATAGACGTGCTAATAACCGAAAACATAGCCGTAAAAGCCCGTATGTCTGGTATCAAAAAAAAATCTTATATAAAATTGAATCCAAACCTGCACAAATATACAGGGTAATGCATTTGAAATTTTTGAGAAAAACTACAATTTGCGTTTTTGACCTGTATGAGCAAAAATTAAAATTCGAAAGAGTAACCAATAAGATAAAAGCTGAGGTGTGTCAGTTTTTTTTACAAAATTCAGTACTCCAAATTTCAAAATGGCGGACTGAGAGGTTGCCGAAGTGGGGGTTTTTCTAGTCAAAACATCTTAGTAGCTAATTACCAAAACCTCGTAGTATGTTATATCAGTTTTCCTCTTTTGAATTAGTTTATTCAAATATGCAATAAAATTTGAGGAATTAAATTTGAAAAATCACAACTTTGATATGTAAAATGGCCAATATTTTAGAAATGTACCCTTAAATGTCATGTATATCATCCCATGAATAGATTTTCTTAAAATGTATTTGTTTTTGAGTAATATTTTGTCGACACATGGATGGGCCTCCCTGTAAAGAGTAAAGAGAAAAAGGAAAACATTACGGGACGTTCCATTCGGAAATAAACAAAAATTAAACAACGATCTAGATAAATTATATAATTGTAACAATGACGTACCATCTGGTTACATTAATATTTTTTTATCCCTCATACACTGTTCAACTACATTTAAGTATCCATGAGCCTTCTTGGCAGTTCTGTCAACTGCCTTAGTAAAACATACCACAGCTCGCTCTTGGAACGCATTCAGCAATGAAAGGGTATCGGAAGCCTGTTTGGCAATTCCGTTGGGCATTTTGAAAGCTGCAGCACCAACCGCAAGGCTGACTTTTCCAATGCATACTAAAGAAGTGGCTTTGAGACATTTGACTGCCTCTTCCGCGATACCAGCCGCTTCTTTCGTAAATGATTTGAACTGCAAGAAAGAAAAACATTATAAGTTATTAGCATTCGGGCATTGAGAAACATATGCCACCAGAAGGTATAGAATTCAACAAAAAAAAAACGTGCATACGCAAAAACAGGCTCATGTACCGTGACACTGCCAACCACTTACGCCTACAACTATACTATAAACATCGGAATACTCCGAAAACTTGACAACAGTACACCTTTTCAAAAAAAGTCAGATGATCAGAAAAGGGATTTATCGGTGTCCTCTAATATGACCTAGACCATAATCTCAAACGCCAAGTGGATGTTTCATTCGTAAATTCACAAATTCGGCAGCAGATTCGTAATCAACATAAAATTATACAAATTACGAATATGCAACATCGTAAAGCGACTGTATTTAACAGAAGACGAATGAGTACTGGTCACATTCTTTTACAAGTACCTCCTATTTATAATCTAGGGTAGAACAAGGGAGTTGAAAAGTGCAAACCTAAGCTACATATGAGATCATCATCATAGCAGTGCCGTAAGTTACATAAGAAATTCTTATCGTACATTAGGCCAAGCTGTTTAGGAATGCAGCTTCACGTTTTCAAGGATTAGGGTGCAGCGGTCATTTAGAGGTCAGTCTCGTAAATTCAACCATTTTTTGTGGTGGTGGCGGCGATCAAATAGGTAGGTACTGAAAAGTAGCAAGGGCACGAACATCTCCCCCATAAAAGTCCAAACGAAAGCTTCAAGAAATCAAAAATGGATTGATCGAAGCAGTGGTAGTAGTAGTAGTAGTAATAGTAGTAGCAACAGTAGTGGGAATGCGTGCTCTTGGGAGACATAAACGCAAAGAGCGTCGAGTGGGGGTCCCCATTCACAGATAGTAGAGGAACGTACTTTTCTGAATGCCTTGCTGCTGCAAACATGGTTGTGCATAACACCGGAGATAACCCCACTTTTGTTAGAGGTAGCAGATAATCCTATATAGATGTCACATGTTCGACACAGAAGATCGCAGCAAACATGAAGAAATGGAGCGTCCTCGATGAGGATAGCATGACGGACCACAAGTATATATACTTTGAGGTAGATAAGCAGCTAAGCAGTAAAAAAGCTCAATCCTGGGGCTCGACCAAGACTTGTAACTGGGAAGTCTTTAGACAGGTACTCTCGTCCAAGCTAGTAGAATACCCAGAAAAGCCGCATACAGAGGAAAACTTTACTGCCACCATTAAAGAAGCTTACCATGCTAGCCTCACTACTAATAACAATCATAGCGGAATGCCCTACTGGTGGAGCAACGATATCTCTCAACAGAGACAGAAGTGTCACAAGGCACGTAGAACCATCATGAGGCTCGTCAAACACAGGCACAGACATCCGGAAGCGATCATCGAAGAAGCTAGCTCCTTGTATAAAAGCCACAAAAAAATGCTTCAGCAAATGATCAAAGAGTCCAAGAAAAAACACTGGAACGAACTTTGTGACAGCATTAACGAGGACGTATGGGGAGACGGATATCGGATTGTCATGAAAAAATTCCGATGTTTCGCGCCCTATAGCATGACAAAAGAACGAAAGAAGCAGATCGCAGAAGAACTGTTCCCACCACACGCAGTTAGGAGCTACAGTACAGAAACGGTCAACAACGTAGGCATGTTCACGGAAGAGGAATTCGAACAAGCCATAGAAAAACTCAAAATGGGTAGAGCCCCTGGTCTTGATGGTATACCCCCAGAAGCAATTAAAGAGGCTTCGAAACTGTCACCAACCTGGGTATTGGGCTTTTTAAACAACCTTCTCACCACACAGAGCTTTCCGGAATCTTGGAAACGGGCCAAACTCTTACTGATAGGAAAAGACAAATACAGACCCATTTGCTTGCTCTTGATAATTAGCAAGCTATATGAGTTATTGATACTTGCTAGGCTACAGAAGGAAATCGATTACAAGGGTGGCCTATCAGAGTTCCAGTATGGTTTCAGAAAAGGTAGAAATACGTTGATGGCAGTGGACGCAGTCCTTAAAACCATTAAGGGCAGCAGGGAAACATGGGGCGTTCTCATCACAGTCGACGTCAAAAACGCTTTCAACTCGCTACCGTGGCAAAACATAATGGAGGAGCTGAAAACAAGGAAAATACCACCATACCTCCGAAATCTCGTAGGTGCCTACCTCAGTGGAAGGTCACTCCAGATAGCCAAAGAAGAGACCTTAGACATAACATCCGTAGTGCTTTCAACATTACTTTACGGCGCCCCAATCTGGCACGACATTATGAGCACTACTAGATACAGGCAAATGTTCAACGGAGTGCAAAGGAAGATGCTGCTGAGGGTGGCGAGTGCTTACAAGACGGTCTCCACCAAGGCCTTACAGATTATTACAGGGATAGCACCGATCCACTTGCTTGTGGAAGAAAGAGTGAGACTGCACCGCCGGGAAGATGGGAGAACCGCGAGGGCCAGAAGGGAGGAGCGCGAGGTCACCATCAGTAAATGGCAGGATGAGTGGCACTTAACGGAGGACGTGGCTCAGTGGACAAAAAAAATAATACCTGACATCGGGAAGTGGATTGCTTGCAAGCACAGGCGACTGGATTACCACCTAACGCAGGCACTAACGCAGCATGGTACTTTTCGAGTATTCACGAAGAGAATACAGAAATCAGACAGCGATGAATGCATGTACTGTCAAAAAAAAGACACAGTTGCACACACTCCCTTCGAGTGCAACAGATGGGAGCGACAAAGGGCACAAGTCGTTGTTAGTCTAGGACACGCTCTAACGGAGAGTAATCTGACCAGCACCATGATGGCGAACAAACAATCGTGGATACAAATACAAAGATTCATCAGGGAAATACTATCAATTAAAGACAAGGATGAAAGAAGAACGGACAGCCCAAACTCCTAGGATATATACATGGACATTTTACTGCAGAAACCGCTGAGGAAACGAAGACATGTGTGAGACACAGTCATGCTGGTAGTAAGCGCAGGCGAATCCCAGCATGAGGGTGGGGGAGGGGGTTTTAGCCCAGGTGGCATAACCTGAATGCGGATACTAGATATCGGGTCTCAGGTATCTCTTGGTGATTTCCCCCCAAGAAAAAAAAAGTAGCAACAGTAGTAGCAGTGGTAGCAGTAGTATTAGAAGTAGTGGTACATTTGTTGATAGAAGTGACCTAAAGACCCGCAGAATACTTATGGGGAATGGCTTTCGGCTAATTTTTCATGGTCTTCGAGATATAGGGCCTCAAAGCTGCGCAGCCCGTAACCTATCAACAACAGATGCAATAGCTGTTAAATGGTATGATGCTAAGGAACTTGACAGAGGACACTTCTTCACGTCTCAGGGGTCGGTGAGGGCGACTTGTTACACTTGGGCAGGTAGACCACGGTAAGAGAAAAAATGTAACAAATAGGAAAGCAGCAAATTTGACCAGTTCTGAGAATAAGTAGTGCCCTTTCTGGAAAGCACTGTCTAAACTGATGATTTAATGCATTATGTAAGTACTTTGCAACCCTTGGAATTTGAAACAGCAATCCTTGAAAATGACTGACTGGCACGCCATTAAATCTTGGCGCTTTCGTACATAAATCACTCATTACTCGACAAAACATTATAGTATCTTTGTGATATCAATCTTTTTTCTTTGGAAATATCTAAATGAATGTGCAAAATATGGGGCACTGAGATTATATAAATTGATCGATTCTGATTTTTTTAAGCGGAATGTTCCAGAACTTATTTTATATTCGGATGAGTCCTTGTAAGAGACGAATGTTGATAACACATAGCGTTTTGATGAGATTGACAGAAAATAATCAGTAGGCTTCAAATTACTGTTACACGTAAACATTCTTACAAGAATTTTATGAATAATTGTTCATTTCCAGTCCAAAGACATTATGTACTTACGTTTGCATCGGTTTTTTCTATATATTTCCCAATTTCATCAGCAACCGTCTTTTTGCAAATCTGCACTTGTCTTCCAACGTCATTTGGTAGAGTGTCTATCTTATGCATAGCTTCGTCAATCATGCAAACGTCGGTTTTAATATTTTTATCTTCCATCTTGCTCTTCAGTCCTACAAGCGTCTTTCCAAATCAAGCACCTGTTTTGCTGTAACAAAGTAGTACCACTTGATTAGTACCTTTTTCTTTATTTATAACGTAATGTAATGTTCAAAGAGCCATAGTAAAGAGTGTCTAATATGTATGACTGTTTGTTTCTCAATACTTTTGATGAAACGGAATAGACTAATTTTTCAATCTTGAATATCGCTAGATATACGGCCTAATTAAAAATAGTTAAGAAGGTTCTATAAATATGGGACCTCAACTAACCCACTAATACGGTACTGGGGTTTATACATGTCTACGTCACTGCATGAGACTGAATGAGGATAAGACATGAACATTCTTCAAATACCGTCGTGGTGAGGTAGTGTTACTCTTCTGATACACCACCTAAAATTTGCAATGTCAAATCTCTTTAACTTTAGCAGACTCTTATAGAGCAGGTTGCAGTTTTATACGGATTTACCTCAAATATTCAAAGCCTAAAGGTTTGTAGTCTGAAAAAGTTCCTCAAGAGAGGCGATTCTTGTAGAATTGAATACCGCATTCAAAATGCAGTAGATGTATAAAAAAAGTAAGAAGCGTACTATTTATTCTCTTCAATACCTATTTATTATATTTCTCTTACTTCCTTTACAATGTTAATGGGACTCTGTTTACACTAGAGTCTTACGATAGCCTCACAAAAAGAAATCTAAACTGTTGAGGTCTGGGGACCTTGGTCGCCATTCTTGGGGCTCACCGCGGCCAATCCAACCATTTTTATCAACGGTTTGTAAATAATTACGAACGAATTTTTATGGTACACGCCTTGGAAAATCAATGGGAAGTAATGCCTGTACTGTATGGTAAGGATATAACAAAAAATCCACTAAAATTCTCCAAACAATTTGATGGTAAATATTTAAGTGTCTAGCGATCTTCCTCGTACTCATTTCAGGATGTTCTTCGACTTCATGCAGCACTGCTCCCTCAATTTCAGTTGTTCTCCCACTTAGAGGTCTTCCTTCAGATGTTCCTTTTCGGGCAACCAGTTTCAACAAGACGACGATGAATATTAGAAGAGGTTCGACTATCTGGCAAAGCACGATCGGGATATCTCTGGTGACAAATCCGTCTAGCGTGCTCACCATTACCGTCGGCAAGGCCATATACGTAATGCATTTCCGCCATTTCTGCATTATTAACAAGATTGTAAAAATTAAATAATGAAAAAGATGTCATCGAACAGATTTGAATAACAGAGACTTGTCAGATGTCAAAAGCCAGTGACATATTCCAGAGCAACTAGATAATTATTGCTAAATTGCATATTATTAAATTAATTTTCTCGGACAATAGAACGGTTTTAATTTTTTTACTGAAAAATGGCGCATCGAAAGAAAACAATTCAGGAGAGATCATTTATTTTAAATTGAACGTGGAATTCAAAAATAACTTTATTGGGA